CAAACTTTCATGGACGAGATTCGTAGACTTAACGAAAAGGTTAAGGGGTTGGACGAATCTTGTGACATAGTAGATCCCTTGATTTTAAAGAACAATGTGAAGAAGCTTATTGCACAGCAGCTGAAAGGAAACCCTACAGTGGAAGAAGAAGAAGAGGACAAGCATGAAATCGATGGAGAGGACAACTATGGAGAGAGAGACGACGTCACCATGAATGAAGGTGTCGAGGAAATGGGCAAGAACGAAGAGAGAGAAGAAGTGACCAAGGATGAGGAGGACAAGCAGATGGTTGAGGATGAAGAGGGCTCGAAAGGAGAGAGAGACGATGTTACCAAGAATGAAGTTGTCGAGGAAATGGGCAAGAGCGAAGAGAGAGACGAGGTGATCAAGGATGAGGAGGACAAGCAGATGGTGCAGGAGGAGGAAGGTGTGGTTGAGAAAGTTCCACTCAGCGAAGGATTGAAGAGGCCGAGGAAGCCGGTGAGCAAAAAATATGTGGGTTATAGGAGTAGAGCTCCAAGCAAAAGAGCAACCAAGAAAGGTAAACTGGTTAGGACACCATTTACTGAGGATAAGAAACCGAGGGCTAAGGGATTAAAGTTGAAAGAAGGTGAGCACAAAGATGAACCCATTGTTGTTGGTGACACCCCAAAGAAAATAATAGTTTATCATGATGACAGTGTTGGCAAGTGGGATGTGCTAAAAAGCACGTATTTAACAGATGTGGATCGTGCTGCCTTAAAAGAGGTGAATGAGGGTATCCCTGATGTAGGCACGTTTAGCTTACGAGTGTTAGATAGCGCTGGGGCTTTTGTACATAACTACAGAATACCAAAAAATATTGCAGAGAAACTCTTAGCTGAGGAGAACAAATGGCTCGAGCAGTACTGCAAGGAGAAATGTAGCCCGTAAGTGCTGATTTCAAAATGTAAAGCTTTCACGTTTAAATTTAAGCAACAAGGGTTAACATGTTAACCACGAGTGTTAACATGTTAACAACAAGAGTTAACATGTTAGCAACAATAGTTAACATGTTATCCACAAGACTTAACAGGTTAGCGACAAGAGTTAACATGTTATCCACAAGAGTAAACACGTTAGCCACGAGAGTTAACATGTTATCCACAAGAGTTAACACGTTAGCAACAAGTGTTAACATGTTATCCACGACAGTTAACATGTTATCCACGACAGTTAACATGTTAAGTAATTTAATGCTAACTCTTTAATATTAACTGTGAAACTCTGTTTTTTGCTTGTTATGTTTGTGCGTTTAGATGTTAGCTTTCATATTTTAAATTTTAACCCTCCGTAACTTATTGCTTGTTAAGGTATGTATATGTCATAACTACTGATAACAACGCAATTACATACCCGAAACTACTGTATATGATCCGCGGGGGAAGACTCGATGACAAAGTAACAGAGGCATTCTTAGATAGATTACGGCTATGGCTGCAGTTGCCAGAGAACGCTGAATTAAACAAGTAGTACGGGATTGTATCTACATATTGCTGCGTAAGACCAATCCTTATATAATTAGTTAACAGATAAGCTCTTATATTTAACATGTTAACCAGAATAGTTAACATGTTATCCACAAAAGTTAATATTTTTTCACAAAAGTTAACATGTTCAATAAGAGTTAACATATAGCCATAAGAGTTCACATGTTATCTACAAGGGTTAACATATTAGCCACAAGAGTTAACATGTTTTTCACAAAAGTTAACATGTTTTCCGCAAAAGTTAACATGTTTTCCACAAAAGTTAACATGTTCTCCACAAGAGTTAACATGTTTTTAACAAAAGTTAACATGTTCTTCACAAGAGTTAACATGTTTTCCACAAAAGTTAACATGTTCTCCACAAGAGTTAACATGTTTTCCACAAAAGTTAACATGTTCTCCACAAGAGTTAACATGTTTTCCACAAAAGTTAACATGTTTTCCACAAAAGTTAACATGTTTTCCACAAAAGTTAACTATATGAACTTGAACCATGTTCACATATTAAAGGTCGCTCTTTCTTAATGTGTTAATTTTATGTAACAGCATTCACTCTATGGAGACCAGGCTCATCTACGGCTATATGAACTATATGAACTTTATATACAACAACATATTACCGCTGGCCGATCAATACTCATATTGCCAATTGTTCGCCATGACCATTGGCATTGTGTTGAAGTTAGATTGAATGAAAATTTAGCGTTGCACTATAGTTCGGTAACTCCCTCTGCTTACCTTGAGCCCGTTAACAAAATTATAAACTTCATGGACCATATGAAGGCCGCATTCGATCTTGAAAAGGTGTGTAGGACATTTAAATATAAGGAAATCCCATGCGAGTCTCAAAAGGGAAGATACATTAACATATGAACCTTATTTTATTAAAGAATTTTTGTCTCCAAAACTGACCTGTAATATGTATTTATGTTTTGTTATTTGTAGCTACGATTGTGGGATATACGTATACCTTTATGTACGGGCTATCCTACAGAAAGGTGATGTTCTGCATGTTACACCCGCCGATGATTCGTCGGCGGTAGTGCGTGCAAGGCTTGCTGCGGAACTAATAAAAGAAGGCTGGAAATTCAGAAATAGAAATGGCACAATAGCCGTGGAGGACCCAGAATTGAAAGTGCCTGCATGAGCCGCAAATGTTACAGCCTAAGGAAGAATGCTATGTAGATAAACAACTGTAAACAATCTTCATAATTTTCAGCTTGTATAGTATATTAACAGCTAATGAACTAGTGCCCGGAGAAAGTTAACATGTTAGATGCGTAAGTTAACAATTATATCATGTCAGCTTCACTTGTTAAATATGAAGAAAGTTTATAACATGTCAGGTTCACTTGTTAAATAATACCGTATATGGATAAAGTTAACATGTTATCATCAAGAGTTAACATGTTATCAGTAAGGGTTAACATGTTATCAACAAGGGTTAACATGTTAGCAATTAAAGTTAACATGTTTGATACAAAAGTTAACATATTTGTCACAACAGTTAACATGTTTGCTACAAGAGTTAACATGTATGTCACAAGAGTTAACATGTTTGCAGCAAAAGTTAACATATTTTTGACAAGAGTTAACATATTAGCTATAAGAGTTAACACGATTGCAACAAGAGTTAATATGTTACCCAACATGTTATTTACAAGAGTTAACATTTAATAGGTATAGCTTAATAACCTTTCAAAAATATTTTATATGTGAACTGTAACTTAACAATCTAACTGAGTAACTTTACAGACCAAGTAAGATAACATTTTTATTATAATTCACATTGGCATAGATATATTTCAGTTCATGTACACAGTTAACTACAAAAGTATTACAAACACCCAAACATATTTCAGTTCATATACACCGGTAACTACAAGAGTCAACATGATGGCAACAAGATTTTACATTTTATCATCATGAGTTAACATGTATCAACAAGGGTTAACATGTTATCGCCAAGAGTTTACTTTTTATCAACAATAGTTAACATGTTACTAATGAGAGTTAACATGTTATGTCAAATAGTTAACATATTATCAAAGAAAGTTAACATATTTTCAACAAAAGTTAATATATTATCCACAATAGTTAACATGTTATCAAAGAAAGTTAACATATTTCCAACAAAAGTTAACATGTTATCCACAAGAGTTAACATGTTAGTAACAAAAGTTAACATGTTTACAACAAAAGTTAACATGTTTGCAACAAGAGTTAACATGTTTTTCACAAGAGTTAACATGTTTGTCACAAGAGTTAACTTGTTTGCAACAAAAGTTAACATGTTTGCCACAAGAGTTAACATATTTGCTATAAGAGTTAACGTGTTACCCAACATGTTATTTACAAGAGTTAACATTTAATAGGTATAACTTAATAACCTTCCAAAAATATTTTATATGTTAACTGTAACTTAACAATTTAACTGAGTAACTTTACAGACCAAGTAAGTTAACATTTTTATTAAAGTTAACATTGACATAGATATATTTCAGTTCATGTACACAGTTAACTACAAAAGTATTACAAACACCCAAACATATTTTATTTCATATACACCAGTAACTACAAGAGTCAACATGATGGCAACAAGATTTAACATTTATCATCAAGAGTTAACATGTATCAACAAGGATTAACATGTTATCACCAAGAGTTTACTTGTTATCAACAATAGTTAACATGTTACTTACGAGAGTTAACATGTTATGACAAAGAGTTAACAGTTATCAAATTATCAACAATAGTTAACATGTTACTTACGAGAGTTAACATGTTATGACAAAGAGTTAACAGTTATCAAAAAAAATTAACATATTTCCTACAAAAGTTAACATGTTATCAACAAGAGTTAACATGTTAGCGATAAAAGTTAACATGTTTGCTACAAGAGTTAACATGTTTGCCACAAGAGTTAACATATTTGCCACAAGAGTTAACATGTTTTCCATAAGAGTTAACATGTTTGCCACAAGAGTTAACATGTTTGCCACAAGAGTTAACATATTAACGATAAAAGTTAACATGTTTGCAACAAGAGTTAACATGTTATCCATCATGTTATTTACAAGAGTTAACATGTAATAACATGTTATCCATCATGTTATTTACAAGAGTTAACATGTAATAGGTGTAGCTTAATAACCTACCAAGAAAATTTTATATGTTAACTAATAGGTGTAGCTTAATAACCTACCAAGAAAATTTTATATGTTAACTGTAACTTAACAATCTAACTGAGAAACTTTACAGACCCAAGTAAGATAATATTTTCATTATAATTCACATTGGCATATATATATTTCAGTTCATATACACAGTTAACTATAAAAGTATTACAAACACCCAAACATATTTCAGTTCATATACATCAGTAACTACAAAAGTATTACAAACACCCAAATATGTTTCAGTTCATATAAACAGTTAACTACAAAAGTATTACATACACCCAAAAGTGTTTCGGCAAATCCGCAACTCATATCAATCGGCGATCGGTTCATTGCAAGATGCGCGGTTGTGGCCTTCGGAGTGGCATCGAGAGCATTTCAAAGATCGTTTGTACATTGTTCGATTGTTAATACGTCGTGTTTTATTTCTCCCCTTTCTTTTGATAGTATGTGGTGGAAGTAGCTCGATCTCATCCCTTGGCACGCTTCGTTTCTCATAATCTGGTATAGGATAGAGAATCGGGTCATAGCTCTTTTTAAATGCGTCTATGGACATAAACCAATCGCAATATTGGTAAATGTCTCTCTTCATGTACGAGATGACTGCACATGCATGTTTACACGGAATCCGCATGACGTCCCAAGCACGGCAAGTGCATGTCTTCTTCTCCAAATCAACACGGGTAGTTTTATGTGCTTGCACTTCAAATATGTCAGCTGCAGCTTGCTTAACATCCAATGGACGACCTTTCTCTATATTTTCTTTAAGCACCATCTCTGCTTGTGGACAGAGATATCCAACCCATTTATCTGCAAGTAACCGGCGATTACTCATTCGAACCATTATCTGTTTACGGATATGCTCAACCATTTGCAGAATCCGTAGCATTCTAGCTTCCCTTATCCAATTATTAAAAGACTCAGCGACATTAGATGTTACGTGCCCATACCTGAAATTATATATAACTTTATAACAGGTCACAAATAAAGGTTAACAAATAATTGAATAGGGTTAACATAATAAAGGTTAACAGATAAGAGTTAACAGGTTATAAATAAGGGATGACACAAATAATTGAATAGAGTTAATTTTTTTGTATTACAGTTAACATGTTTACATATAATAGTTAACATTTAACAGTTAACATATTTTCCACAAAAGTTAACATGTTATCCACAAGAGTTAACATGTTATCAACAAGAGTTAACATGTTATCCACAAGAGTTAACATGTTATCAACAAGAGTTGACACATTATCCACAAGAGTTAACATGTTAGCAACGAGACTCAATATATTATCAACAAGACTTAACATGTTATCAACTCTGATATAGTTAACAGCTCTGATATAGAATTTAACAAAATCAACACGGGTAGTTTTATGTGCTTGCACTTCAAATATGTCAGCTGCAGCTTGCTTAACATCCAATGAACGACCTTTCTCTATATTTTCTTTAAGCACTATCTCTGCTTGTGGACAGAGATATCCAACCCATTTATCTGCAAGTAACCGGCGATTACTCATTCAGACCATTATCTGTTTACGGATATGCTCAACCATTTGTAGAATCCGTAGCATTCTAGCTTCCCTTATCCAATTATTAAAAGACTCAGCGACATTAGATGTTACGTGCCCATACCTGAAATTATATATAACTTTATAACAGGTCACAAATAAGGGTTAACAAATAATTGAATAGGGTTAACATAATATGAATTACAGTTAATAGTTTACAGATAAGAGTTAACAAGTTATAAATAAGGGATGACACAAATAATTGAATAGAGTTATTTTTTTTTGAATTACAGTTAACATGTTTACATATAATAGTTAACATTTAACAGTTAACATATTTTCCACAAAAGTTAACATGTTATCCACAAGAGTTAACATGTTATCAACAAGAGTTAACATGTTATCCACAAGAGTTAACATGTTTTCAACAAGATGTAGAACACACCTCGAGTGTAGAGCTTCTGGAAAATACTCTTTTACTGATTCTTTAATTCCTTTGTCCGCATCAGAAATTATAACCAATTGGTGGGGAGGATTGTAAGGGTCAGCCCTCTCATAAAGTATGGACCATAGACATTGGAGGAACCACTTCCAATTCATCAAATTCTCTTGATCACATATGCAATACGCTAAGGGAAATATACCTTGGTTCCCATCGTATGCTATGGCCGAGAGGAGAATACCTTTATATCGATCCTTCAAAAATGTACCATCCAAAAATAGAAGGGGTCTGCATCCACTCAAGAAACCTTTGATGCATGCAGCATAACAAACAAAGAGTCTCGAAAACCTCCCCTCATTCTGGTCAACATGTATGTAACTGTTGGGATTTGTCTCTTTTACCATGCGGTCATACCTATACGTGTAAGAAGAAACAAACCAACAAGTTAACATGTTATCCGTGTAGCTTAACAAGCGACCAAAAAAAGCTAACACATTATTGGGGTAACTTAACAAAAGTTAACAAATTATCAGCGTAACTTAACAATGTAACAGAGAAAGTTAACATGTTAGTGGTGAAACTTAACATGTTATCAATGTTATCAATGAACTTAACAAGGAACATGTTAACTATTTGTTTTAACAAGCAAACTTTGAAACTTAACATATTAATAATAAAGCTCAGCATTTACCATCGTAGTTGATCATTCGACTCATATATATCCCCGTAAAGCTTCTCCTGTGCTCTCTCTTTCCCCCACCATATCTTAGTGTAATCAATTCTAAGGCCGTAGTTTGTGAGGAACTCCTTTTGCACATCAACGGGTCGGATTTCTGAACGGACCTTCAGGAGTGGTTGTAACTGTGTTGCAATGAATTTACGGGATGCCCTTGAACGACCTGTATTTTGCCCGTACCGCCCACAAGTATGTTCATTAACAAACTTCTTGATCGATAGTCTATTTTCATTCTTAACAGGTGCTTTCAGAACCATGGTTTGCAGCAGAAGTACTATCAATAAACTTTGGCTTCAGTGTATTCATAATGCTGCACAAATATAATTGGTTTTTCTTAAAATAACAAATAGGACTTGTACTTAAATAATGCAGTACCCTTAAGAGTTAACAAATATGCCCTAAAGCTTAACAACCTTCGGTAGAAAGTTAACATATATCAGTTAAAAGCTAACATTTAACCTGAAACAATTCGCTATGTTATCATTTCTTCACATTTTACTCACGCAATTCATAATTTTTCAAATAAATTAAGTGTAAATATAACTTACCTTTCAGGTGGTTGCTTCGGGGTGTTCTCACATCTGGAAACATCTACATCTATATTAGCTCGAATATGGATCTCCAGACACCCGATATTACGGTTGTGCTCCACCATACACTCCATATCATCCTCATTCTCGATCTCAAAACTCAGATCAGGGATCCTTTCAGATTTATAAACCATTGATAGCGCATCATAAGGAACCTTCAACCTCTCAGCCACGTCGAACTTAAACTCAAAAAAAGAGGTTGCACAAGTTACCCTTGAGAACACTGCTCTCTCACCCAAGGAAACCATGCAAATAAGGGGGCTCTCCGCCATAAATGAAGGGGATTTAAGAGGAGTTATGAAGGGCACTTTAGGACAAGTAATGGGCTGAAGTTCATAAGTCCTAACCGCAAAGATCTGCCCTTTACACCATAAATACACTCTATTCAAAGCCGAGTGGGTTAACAGGATATATAATGGAGGGAGCACGCCAAAATTTCCCCCCAAAACTACCATCATCTCGCCTTAAATGCGACGGGGAGGGATCGCCAGCGATCGGATCTCGTTTTCGAGGCACGGAGTTGAAGGCGGGGGTATTTTAGGGAGGTTGGGTGCAAATACGGGTGAGAGAAGTGTTTTAGGGCTCAGTTACATTTTTTGGAATATTTAAGGGCTTAGCCACATGGGCCAAAGTACAGGGGGCTGGGCCACATTGTATTTTCAATTTTGGGGCCTTGAAGCAATTTTTCCTTTTTATTAAATCCTAAATTAGGAGCAAATAAAGAAAGTGTGAATAAAGGGGCATGGATTGAAACTAAAACAAACAAATAACAAGCAAGAAAATAAATTAACTATCTAGGCATTAAAATAAATCTACTCCTAAATTAAAGAAGAAAAACTAACTAAACATGAAAATTAAACAACCAAAGCATGCATTAAATCTAAATTATTTCCTAAACATGTAATTCTAAGAAAATTTAAGAACTAAAAGGAATTCACATTGCAAGCGGTTGGCCCCTTTTGCAGAAAAAAAAAATCTTTAAGCCTTCATCAACGTGAGAAGGAGGACAAACTTGAAGAGGAAAAATTATTTTTATTTTTATTGCAAAACTAAAGTTTTACAATAATTAGAAGGCCTTGTCAAAGAGTAGCCCTCCTATCCCCAAAAGAGGATTTATAAATGTTGATGCTAATGATCACACATTCAATTAAAATGGTTGGATGAGGTTGTTGAGGGGCCGCTCCCTTCCCCGAATATTTGGTCTTGAGTTAGGTAGCTTTCCAGCCTGCACAAGTAGAAACTCGTGAGAGGACGGGGACTGGTTCCCCTGTGGTTCCTCCGACGATCAAGTCAGGTGGTGAACTTGAGTGGGGAAATGAAGAACTACGAGAGTTCTTTTTTTACATAGCAATATAATTTGCAGACATTGATTAAAAGATCAGATCTAGAAGTTAGAATCTAGAACCCTCTCTATGTTAGAATAATATCCCTATTTATAGTGGTGTTGAAAGGGTAGAATAGTCACTTCAGCCAAGTACAGGATAGCGGTGAAGAAGTGTGGGTTGCTAACTGTGTCAGCACCTACTTTACATGTGTCGGCTGGCAATTGGGGGAGAGATCAATTCCACATTAAATGAGAAGCAATTGGAGGCATGACGGTGCTGACGTGGTCCGATGAGTCATGAAGACTATCGGGGCTAGAGGCATGATGACGCCTGTCAAGCATTAAATAGGATGCTGACACGTTGTCAGCAGGAGAGGTTCGAGGCTGAAGTTGTCCTTTGCCTTAGCCAAGAAGTAATGCCTCTCGAGTCGACTCCATAATGGTGTCGAATAGCTGGTCGAATGTGCTCGTAGCGAGTCGTCTTCGACAAGAGGACTGACAAGTTCCGCCATTCGAGTCGACATAGGGGAATGTCGACTCGACGAGTCAGCTAAGTTAGAATCCTTGTTGGTCTTTGGCCGCTAATTTGATTGGGGCATTGCATGTAGAAGTACACCTGTCCATTATTGGCAAAAGGTCACACTTTGGCAATTGAAAACCTCATAACAATAAAATTTTACACATCTCTCACCTTCATTCTCTACCATTCTTTATAGATTACATAAATCAATATGAGCCCTTTGATCATCCCCCCCCCCCTTCCCCAAGAATCAATTTTCAACCATACGATGCAAGGCTAAACAATTTTGCTCCAGATTTCAGAATATCTATGGTTCTGTCACTGGTCCACTAAAATGACTATTTCTTGAGTTCTACAACTCCAATTTAATTAAATTTTAATTCGCTTGATTTGTAATTGAAAGAATGATTATTTTGTCTGATACTCAGTTAGATCAAACAGAATTATCCTACACACTTCTACTTAAAATATGTTACAACACATCCAGCAATGAGCTATCACAGTTATTTTTGCTCTAATTTTTCTTGAGCTTTACTTGGACTTTTCTTGGGCTTCATTGAGCTTCAATTAGGCTTAAAGTATCTTTATTTGAGCTCTTAATTTTTTCTTTATCTTTCCTACAAAATAGGATAAAATATAATATTAATAATTTATTTGTGTGAAACTTATTTAAAATAGTCGAATGAAAATGTAATAAAATATGATAATTAAATACTTTTCTAGTCCTCTAACAAAGAAAGAAAATAAAAAATAAAGAAAGAAAAATGACTTATTTTCATAGGAATCATGGTTGTATTTAGCACATATAAAAGCCTTTAAACACCTAACTTACCCCAGAGGATGAGTTGTAGTCCTATGAGAGTTTACAGTGAATATAACCATAAAATTTAATCAACTTGCCAATCTTGAAGAATTCAAAATTAAATTAACTCACTTTACATATTTAAACAATCTAATTAAAGTTAGTTTTTACTTTTAAAAATATTTTTATGCATAACTCCAAAGTAAATTTCTTAGGAAATCTTTTCATTATGGTTATACAAAACTATGTCTAACTTAAAGACTTTTATTTAAAATTCTAAAAAGAACATACTAAGTCTTCACTTTAATAAATTTTCAAGTCTCTTGATTACTTTTATTTCACAAGAATACACACACACACACATAATTTTTCTTTTTATATGTATACATAAATATGTATATCTCTTCATTCCTTGGTGATTTTTTTCTACTCTATCGGATTTTTCTAAGTAAGCATATAACAAACTTTGGGCCAATGGATTCCAACTCAATTGGGCTTAGGTCATTAAATATAGAAATACTCTTCGGGCTTAGTTGCTTAGTCAACTTATGCTTAGTAACATAGAATCACCTTAGAGTTAAGATTTCTATTGGTTCCCATTTTTCGCATTCTTCTAGTTTTTATTTCCAGTTAGTGTGCGTGTGTGTGTAAGGGGAGAAGAAAATGAATATGTTTGGTACCAAGCATCAACTTGATGCTTGGTAGTGAGATGGCTCATTCCCATCTACTTATTTAAAGAGAGATCCACATTCATATGGGTGCACATGAGTTGAATAATTAAGATGGTAATTTTCAAGTGAACTATTTTTGTAAACTGTGTGATGACTAACGAACATAAAGGAGATACACTGAACCGATAAACTCCTATTCCCCGAATTAAATAAAGATTATGGAACAAATCCTAGCCGCATAAGAGAAATTTGATGTCAAGTTTGAGAAAAAAGCATGATATCTAATTATGTTCTAGGTCCGCACTTGTGAGACCTAATTATTTTCGGAGTCTTCGCTTGTGGAACCCCATGGGTCTTTCCTCAAGTGCCATCTTACCCTCCTAACAGTCCTACAAAGAGCATGACACTCGAAGCTCCATGCGTCCCTATCGCATACCACTTCAAGGCATGCTTTTAACTTGTTCTCGAGAATTTTCTCGAGCATAGCATTTTCAACCTGAAGTAGATCCACCAACAGGTGGAGAACACAGTCTTTTTCCATAGAGTTGCCCTTCACCTGGGCTAACTCCTGTTGGACCAGAGTAATCTTAACTCCTCTATCAAAGAACTTCTCTATTTGGGTTAGAGAAGACTTAGACACAGAGAAGATGAGATGGGAAAAGATAAGAATGGAAGGAGCTTGTATAAGCTCTCAGAATCCACTTTTCCATAACGAACAACACGTTTTATGGGAAGTGATTGGATCAAATATAGAGGCTAAAAGGTAGCCTAAATCTTAGGATCTCCAGTGAATCTTACCAAATATTTGACCCTAAAGAGAAATCCTAACCGCAAATCAAGGCCTATATCTAGAGACAACAGCCTCAGCGATTCTCATCAGTCAATGAATCTCTCTCAAACAATCAAAGTTGAGTGAACTTTGCCAAAGTTTAGGATCAAGCGAACATCATCATCCTTTGAACTTCACCCCAATGTTAGGGTAGAAAAATGTTGTTCCAAACACAGAGTTGGACAAATGTAAACATCAATGAGACTTCAATCAAAACGAGTCTATGATAAAAAAATCCATGTTCAATAGTATACCTCTAGCAGCTAAGTAGATTGATGAAGGTATGTTTTAGCCCAAGCAAGACGACTCAAGTTATGTTCAACGGTACACCTCAAGCTATTGCCTAAAGTAATTTGATCCCTATTATAAGCCAAAAACAGGGTCTTGAAAACTTTAGAGGGGGTCTTGTAGATGTACAAAATATGGTATACGTCCATGAGCTGAACATTTCATATGGGCCCGAGGAGAAGCCCACGTCAAACCCCACCCAAACAATAGTGAACTTTGCTCAAGCTTCACAT